CTGAGTTAGCCTCATGTAGTGGATTGAGTCAGAATGTGAAGAGAAGGATTTTCCTCTTTAGAACTGGAGGGTTGGGTGGAGATGACTGAGATTTCTAACTTGAGCACCCCTGAGTGCATGATGGTGCCACGTGGACTGTAAGAACAGTAGGAGACAGGGTCTGTAATTGCTTGGATTTTAGGTGGAATCTGAAGTATAGTGTGTAGCATGCAGGGCTGTTAACTGAAAGGTCAGCAGTTTGAATCCACTCACCATTCCGCTGGAGAAAGATTAGCAGTCTCCTCCCATAAAAGATGTACAGCCTTTGGAAACCCAGTGGAGAGAGGCTGTGAATCCAGGTTAACCTGATGAAAGAGCAGGATTCTGTTGGGGAGTTACTTGATGAAGAAGTGGAGTTGTTGTGTTCTGTCTTGTCAGAACTGACCCATAGCTGGCCCTCTAGCGGGTTTTCAGAGGCAGTTAATCCCACGGGAGGAGATTGCTCATCCTTCGGAGCAGCTGGTGGATTTGATCCACATGCCTTCAGGATTACAGCACAGCTTATTACCACTAGGCCACCAGAGTTCCCACAGAAGTGAAGTAAGCAGTTGGAAATAATGGACTTCTGGGAACTGGAGATACAGATTTGAGAGTTACTAGACTATGGGTACAGAGCTCTGCTGGTGCAGTTTAGGCTCCTAAACCAAAAGGTTTGTGGTTCAAACCCATCAGCTGCTCCAAAGGAGAAAGAAGAGGCAGTTCTGCTCTGTCCTGCACAGCCACTGTGGGTTTGGATGCCACAGACATAGGATTGTCCAAGTCAGCATGGGAAGCAGGGTTCTCACCCTTCAACATCATGGCTGGGGCTCTGTGTGCCCTGAGGCATCTTCCTCTTTGAGTCCCGCACCCTCTCTTCCTGATATCCACCAATCCTGAGTCTTCTCCCTGGCACCCCTTTGAGAATCCCTTTTCTACAATGCCTGCAAGGGCTGAGGGGCTGTGAGGCCTCAGGATTGAAAGGCCTAGGAGGGGGAGGAGGCAACACGGGAACCTGACCGGGGATCGTAGTACAGACCTCACGATAGGGGGGAGGGGGAGGTTATTTTTGAGAGTATATTTCCACCATTGCAGTGACTCCTTCCTCATTTATCTCTATTATTATCTCTTCTAGCGTGGGAAATCTTCCTTGAACCAAAAGCTAGGCTTAACTGACAGAGGGAGATAATGGAGGAGGAGCTAGGCTGGCTTCCCCGAAACCCTGTAGCCTGAAGTGCTCTCATGTTTGTAGAATGCTGGCTAGCAGCTGGCTCTGCAGAAGTGCTTGTTGAGTTCAACTGGTAGGTCCAAGTTTATAACAATTAGTGGTGTCTTCCACCATTCTAGAGTGTTCTACAGGACGTAGAGTGTTGTGGAGTAATTAAAGTGTCTGGGGCAAAGTTTCCTGACATCGTCAAAAGAATAGCAACAAAGAAAATAAATAGAGGTTTTTCTAAGTTTTCCTTCTAGTGAAATTAATTGTGAGCTTAAAACAATCGTGATTTTCTCAGTGCCAGTAGTTCTTGGGTTTTAAAGCACTCGTTAAAGGCTGCTGGTAATAGCAGTCATGTCAGCTCCCACTAACAGTGACATTATAAATTAATTAGATGAGACAGTGAGAATTATGAAGCATGTCTTTTCAACTTCAGATACCCCAGTGTAATCATATTAAACATTTTGGAAATGAGCTTCACTTTCACATTAGTATTTGTTCATTGTTCATATCACACCACCACATTCTAATTTGTTTACCAGTATTATATAATTGGACTTAACAACATCTGTGAAAGGATGATAGTGTAGTGAAGTTGAGAGAAGGTGTTAACTGCTGCTTCATGGACAGAGTTCATCAAATCTTATAGGAGAAACATAACCACAAGTGACAAGGCTCACTCCTCCCTCTTAGCCATTTTGCCACCTGAATCCCGATATCCTTCTGCTCTCAAAGGGCTTCCTTTTTCTCTATCACCTTTTCCTCTTCTGTCACCTACTGTGATCTGTTCTAATCTGTACTTCACATATATTCTGTCTCATAGTTAATGTTACAGAAACATCGCTCTTTTGAAAGCATGTCCATTTTATATTATTGTCTCAAGTTCATATAGAGAAATAAAGTAACTAGATGTGATGAAGAAACTTAATGCCCTAGGATAGGACACTTGTAATCTGAATGCTTCTCCTGTCAAAAGAAACACTTGGTAATAAATTGCCAGCAGCTCTTCAGCACCCACCTTTCACTGATTCCAGGTTCTGTATTCATCTGCCAGCCCAGGCCAAGCCTGCATGAGAAGACCCCCCTCCACCAAAGCTCCCATTTCCTCCAGAGCTGCTGCTTTTATTCCCTCCAGCTTTCTTCTTCCTTGGAAACGCTGGGTACAGCAGGTTTAAGCTGTGGGCTTGACTCCAGCTTTCCTGCACCAGCTATCTGACCTTGGGTTTCTTAACTCTTTTAGAATTGACCTTCAGTTTCTTCAGCTGTAAAAATGCTGAGGAGATAGTCTACTTCCCAGAGTGTACCTGCCTGGCACAGGCTTGGCACATAGTAGGTGCTGTGATGCCCATTTGTTCTCATGTCTGCTGTTCTGACGTCTGTCACTGGTGGCGTAGTCTGTAGCATGATACTTTCCTAATCAAAAGGCGTACATCTCCAGCAGTTCAAACCCACCCGTAACTCCAAGGAGAAAGTTGAGCAGTTTCCTCCCATTGAGATTTATAGTCTCAGAAACCCAGCAGAGGGTCACTGTGTGCTAGAACCTGCTTGAGAGTGACTTCGAGTTTTGGTTTTTTGTTTTGTTTTTTTAAATTTTTATTGTATTATTTTTACGTGTGCCATCAAATCAGATCTGACTGGTACAGGAGGAGATTGCCCCTCCTTCTCCAGCAGAGCATCTGGAGGATTTGAACTGCGTACCTCTGGGATTACAGTGCAGCTTCTTGCCACTAGACCACCAGAGCTCCCTGACTTTGAGTTTGTAATGCCCATCTTAAGGAGCCCTCATGGCACAATGGTTAAAGCATTCTTCTGGGGATGTATATCTTCTGTTTTCTTTTTTGTTCTTTCCTAAGAAACAGGTTTTGATCAAAAGTATTATTAGTAATTGCCAAAATTTTATTTCAATGAATTTGTAATATCAAACCACCTCACTTCTGTGGAATCAGTGCCTGACCCATGACGATCCCATGGGACACAGCAGAACCAGCACAGGATTTTCAGAACTGTGAATCTTTGAAGAAGCAGAAGGCCTCGGCTCCCTCCATTGGTGCAGCTAGTGGATTTGAACCACCAGCCTTTTGGTTAGCAGCTGAATGCCTTAACCACTGTGTCACCACAGCTCCTTAATCAGCAATACAGGAGGCAAAAAAGAATGGGATTGATTTCAGCCTTCACGTAGGCTGGAGGAGGGAAGGAAACTGGGGTAAGCAACAGCATGTGTTTGTAGCCCACGGTCAACCAGAATGGAAAGAAGAGCCGGAGGGTGTGCTGTGGCCAAGTGGCAGGGTCCCTTAAATGCAGGTCAAGAAAAGGTGGGCTCTGCCTTTTTGGGCCCAAGAGAATCATGGACGAGAATATAACCACGAGTGGCAAGGCTCAGTCCTCCCTAGTGATTTTGGCAACTGAATTCTGATATTCTTCAGCTCTCAAAGGGGCTTCTTTTTTCTCTATCATCTTTAAATATGATAAAAAGTGTTTTAAGAATGCTATTATTGTCAGATGCCATCAGATTGACGGCAGCTCATAGTGACCTGATAAATAGCACCATCAGAACCCTGCCCTATCCTGCCGCATCCGCACCATCAGTGATAGGCTCAAGTCCTTTGTTACAGTCTCTGTGTAAGTCCGTCTTGCTGAAGCTCATCCTCACTTTCTCTGACTCCACTTTTCCCAATATGATGTCTTCATGCACGGACTAGCCCCTCTTGACATCATTCCCAAAGTATGTGAGGTGAAGCTTCACCATTAGACGAGTACCCTCGCTGCATTTCTTCCAGGAAAGACTTGTTGATTTCTTTGGCAGTCCATGGAATATTCAACACTCTTCTCCATCACCACATCTAAAAGTGTTCCATTCTTCTCTTGTCATCCTTGGTCATTGTCCAACTTTCAGATGCACAGGAAGTAGTTGAAAATACCATGCCTTGTTTCAGGAGCGCATAAGACCACTATAGCACCTCAGAAGACTACTGCTTTCTAAAACTTCCATCAAAGTGACATTAACCAAAGCGGCTCCACTGCCTGCCCTGGAGATACAGTCTCAGTGATACTGTATGAACCCCTGGATGTAGCTCCTTGGCTTCCAGGGACTATATATATAAAACAGAGCCCCTGCTGGCTCCAGCAAGTTTATAGTTTCCCACAAATCTAATGTTGCACTCTTGATCGTGACAATAACTTTCCTCAATTTGAGGGGGGGAATATATAAATATATATATAGTGTCTGTATCTCTGGGGTACTTTCCTCTGGGGTGACTCCATGCTCATACGGGCTTCCTCCAAAGGGAGAACCCCAAGCTCACGACGTCTTTGGACTCACATCCTCAACTAGGGACACTCTTTTTTGTCCCCTCCTAGCAGTCTTCTTGGTCCAGCATGGGCTGTAAACCCTCCTGAGCCAGTCACGGATTGCAGGGAGATGTGGTACAAGGATGGGAAATTCTTAGTCTGGGCCCCTCCTGTGGGGAACAGAGGCCATCACAGAATGACAGCCTTATCAGCTCTGGGTGAGGGCCAGTTCTTGAAAACAAAAGGTGCTGGCAGACAAAAGGGAGTAAAAAAAAAAAGATGACACCGCATGTGACTTATACAAGGACACTGGTTGAAAGATAGACAGAGGGAGGAAGCTGGTAAGAGGATGCATGGAGGGAGAACATGGGTAGAGAGATGAAGATAAAGCCACTCAGTTACTTAAGGCTCCCTGATTTTAACTTCTTTATTCTGTTTCTTCAGCATTCCTTTAATTTTCTATTTCCTTTACTAAAAATTCTACTTCGATGGTGGTTCTTTTGGAGCCAATTATTCCTCACCACCTCTGGATGAGAGCTGGCCAAGGTAAGCTGCCACCGTGGACAAGACATGATGGGCTGTGTTACCTTGTATGGTTTTGCTTTTTTTTTATCCATCTTGAATATTATCTTAGAGATTTCACATAAAAACATAGAGGACTTCCCCCTTTCCTTGAAAACTTTATTCTTTCCACATATACGCTTGTATGAAAGTCTAAAATGAAAAGTTCTTTAAATCAATCTAGCTCTCCAGATGTTAAAAATATACAGAAACCTATTTAGACCACTGTTATCAATAGAATATCCCAGTTTAGTATTGTGGTATTTGTGACATGGAAAAAGAAACTATTTTTTCTCAGATTGTCTTAGCTACTGAAAGGAGCAGGAAACTCTTAGAATGGTTATGTGTGCAATGAAGCGTATTTAGGGCCTCTTTGAAAAAATATTCAAAATGCTTTACTCACTGGTAGGATATAAACTTTGCTAAATGAGACGGCTTCATCTGTTGTATGATATAGCACTCAAAGCACTAAGCCAGATGTAAGGAGCCTTGGTAGTTAAGTGGTTAAAGCATGTACCTGCTAGCCAAAAGGCTGAATGTTCCAACAGGCTGAGTGCTCTTGGGAGGATGACAACGCAGCCTTCTTCTGTAAAGATATATGGCCTTGGACATTCAATTGGGGGCCATTTGACTCCATCGTAGAAGATTGTCAAGAGTCAGAGTCAGCTTAACAGCAGCTGATTTGTTGGTTGGTAAATCAGCTTGAGGAGACAGTTGAAATGTAGCTACTGAAAACAACAAAAAAACCCCAACCTCTTTACTCCTTATCCATGTGAAGTCATTCTCTGGGCAGGTACCTATTATGGATAATACAGCTAGACCTAGAAAAGGCTTTAAATTATATAACAACTGACCTCTACCCAAAGATGGTCTTCGGCTCTCCTAAGAACTAATATAGGATGTAAGGTTGTATGATAAATGCAGTGTTTTGTTTTAAACCATAAAGGGCATCTCCACAGTGAACTCTCCTAATCTTTACCCAAGAAGAGCATCTCCTGCTTTCCAGACGGACTTGTATTTTCATATTCTAGACAGTTGATGAACCAGAGCTTCATATACTACATAGCCCTCTCCGTGGCTACAGGAATATAAATTTTCACATCCAGGATTGCCTGCGTGCTCCCTG